GTATATATATATCCTGTACATACACAAGATAAAGTCTGAGTAGTCCAACAATGGCTGCACCACACTGGAGAGGCTGAGAATCTAGTAGTTGCTCAGTAGTCCCAATCTGGCACTGAAGTTCTGACATTTTCCAAGAGATCTGCTAGTCTTCAGTCTACAGCAACAAGATGAATTCACCAGTGAAAGGGAAGGCAAGCTGCCAAAAGCAAGCACTCCCTTCTGCCATGGCCTTTTAAGTGGTTGCCATCAGAAGGCAACACCCATATTTAGGGCGTGTCTTCCAGCTTCAGATGATCCAATCAAGACCGTCTCTCTCATTTCAGTTAATCCCAGATCCAGTCAAGTTGACACCCAGGATTAGCCATCACAAATAGCAACATTAAATGAAATTAGGAAAGAAGGGTATGTAGGAGGGAGGTATGGAAAGGGAAAGGAAAATTTGAAGGAATGAGGATAGCACATGGAAAAAGTGGTACCAAGAATACTTCAGAAAGGGAGAAACAGGTAAATAAATTAATAAAGAGGACAAAAGCTCAATGTGACACCGTATTGCAGTAAATTTGATCCTATTACTTCTGGAAGCTCACCTCAATAGAAGTTTATTCCATGCCACTGGAATTCCAATTCTTTTAGTTTTTACATCACTGTAAATTTTGTCTCTATTTTCCATAGGGGAAAATCCTTCTATTAGACCCACTAAGAAGTCAGGAAAATACCTTTGCTGAAACTTGGTATGTTTATAATTTTTTCCAACTTATATAAATATACTGAGTAACTATTTTCACCTATAAAATATATATATATATATATGATTGATGAATTATGATACACAGATATATAAATATTTATGGATAAGATGGTTATTTTAATCATCATAAGTTACTGTCTATAGAATTTTATAGCTGATACTTTCATACACATTCTCACATGTAATCTTAAGTAATTCCATTTTTTTCTCTCTCAGCACTTTTCATCACATTTAGAACAGTTGGTCCCATGAAGTACTATCAGACACACAGTAACTGCTTGCTAATAACTAAGTGATGAACCTTGTCCTATCTTTCTTCTACCAACTGTGACAGCGGCACTGGGAAAATAAGATGATCAAGACAGTAGACTGTGGTGAGTCCTCAGAGAGGCCAGTCACCCACCTTTGAAAGTGATGGGTTGCAAGATGCCCAACTCTGTCTTCCTCCAGATTGAGATCTGCCTCAGAGACTTGTGAAAGCTTCCTTAGAAAGCCGCCCAAGTGGGAACTATAAGCTCTTTTCTCTGATCCTGCACAGATGGTTGGTAAAACACATAGATTGAGATCACAAGTCTCAAAATATCTTTCTTCTTGACAAGTGTTACCTTATTTTATTGGGACTAGATGATTACATGTAAATTTATCCATATACCTAAAACCTGTGGGCCCAAAGTCCAATAGAAAGATGGGGATGAGGATTACTGGTATTCCTTGATTTTCCTAAAGACCAAAAAATTTTATTATTGTTTTTCATTTTTAATTGAAATTTTGTGAATTTCATACAGCGTATTTTTATCATATTTAGATTCCCCCCATCACTCTAGCCCCACTTTTTAACCCTGAAATTTCATCCACTAGAGTTAAACTACCAAGAGTTTCACTATTAAATGAGAATGATTGTCCCTGTCCCAGTAGCCATCTGTTGCTAACAGTTCCTTACATAAGGGTGGGGTTTCTTACCTACTTCCCCTGTCCATGCTGGGATTTTGTGTGACTTGATATTACATGGGACTTGTGCATGGTGTCACATTGCTGTGAGTTCATAGGAGTAAGTGCCCAGCTGGCAGGAAGACTTTGTTTCCTTGTGAGCATCCACCTCCTCTGGCTCTTACAACCCCCCCCCCCAGTAACTTATTCAACAATCTTTGAGCTTTGGGAAGTAAAAATTTGATATATGTAACATCAAGGAATTTTCAGTCTTACAAATACACTGTACTGTATTTTCAATATAAAAAATGGTTATTATTTGCTTGATGTTCTTAATATTGGCTTAACAGCTTTAGGGTTGAGAAGGGGCAGGAGTTGTTTATTTACTGTATAAGCACTAAAATTCCTCTACTGATCAGTCCCCCTCCAGCCAAGCCACCACCTTTCATCGTGGAGATCACAAACCTGAATAATGTCATCATCATGTCATTTTCAGAGGAGTTCCTATAAGGCTATGACAGCAGATGCATTCACACATTCTCCCCATGCTACTTGGCATCCACATGATACAAGTGTGGCTATCACAGACATGGTAACTAACTCTGGTCAATTACTTTATAATCTGGAAGAATCTGTTCTACTTTAATTATGAAGCCATTTTTGTTGTGCGCTTGCATAACGGCAGAACAGAAAGCTAAGAAATTGGGACAATCTAATAATTGTAGAAACTTACAAAACCAGTGATATATTTATTTGAACGTATTTTATCTGAGTATAGTATGTTAATAAAAATGCACATCAAGTAGCATAATTCACATATAAATTCTAGGTTTTGTCCCTTGTTAATCTTTCTCAGTTCTGCTGAATGCAAAGTAGCATCTTCAATAATGTCTTCAAGTTCTTGGACCAATGCACGATACCTTCCATGTTCCCTGTGTCAGCTTAGTGCTCAGCACTCTACAAACTGCCTATCTGCTCAGCTCTCTCAAACCTACAAGGCATCAAGTACAAACACATCCAGTCTCCAAATTTTGGTATTATGTTAGCCATCAAACCTGAGGCTCTTTAGAGACATTTCCCCCTCCTCCTTTCCATTTTCATGCCCCTCCTCCTCCTCATTCTTCTTCCTTTCTTACCTTACATCTGTCTACTAATTCTTTAACAAATGCAATGTGTACCTTCATTTCATCAGTAAGATTGTTCTATTATATATTGCAGAGGCTCTGTTTCAAAATAATATTTGGCGCATTTTCCCCCACTTTACTATAACCTGATTGTTTTCTAATATTGCTGCACACTTAGATTGTAAGTCCTTAAGTCTCATCTGTGATTTTTTTTAATCTCTTTTTGGGTGTTTTCCTTGGTGAGTTTATTTTTCCAGGGTTAAACTGTAGAAGTTGGTCAGTTGGTTGCTGATCTGCAGGCAAATTCCCTTTGTCTGAAATGGGTTTCACGGTGTTTCCCTAACTTTAATTTCCTTTGGTGTGACCTGTATTTTTTCAATTTCCTCCAGGTATTGTCCGTTTTTTTTTTTCTTCTTGCCTTACAGTGTTTTTTATTTAAAAGATTTGTGCTAAAGATGTATCCATTTGCAATTCATGTGAAACATAGTATTTCTACCATCTTAATTGATTCCTGTTTAGATTATACTGTGATTTATCCTCAAAACCTTGGTGGGACATTCTGTTGATTCCACATTTTCTTCACAGCTGGTACTGAGAAGCCAAGAACTGGATGTCATTCTGTGATTTCTTTTGTAGCTAAAACAAATTTCACACTTTAGCTCTTTGCATGTTTTGAAAATGTATTCTTCATACCTGGTGTCTAGCATTGAAGAAGATTGATCACTAGATCATTCATTTTCCATCATTACATCACATGGTTTCATCTAAAGACCCTTGACTTTCTTTGTCTCTAGAAAAAGCTACTTTATATGACAACCTTTGCCTCTAACACCTAGCTTCTTGATCTGTCTGAACTATATTTATATTTTCCCATTTATTGACAATTGTCACAATATCTTACTTTTTATCCTTTTTCAAACATATAAGCAATCTCTTTGTTGAGGAATTTATTTTTATTTTATGCGTATGAGTCTTCTGCTGGCATATTTGTAAATGCATATATGTAAGTGTACCACATTCATACAGTGCCCTCAGATGTCAAATCAGGTTGTCATATTCCCTAGAACTAGACTAACGGATGGTCATTGGCTGCTACTTAGGTCCTGGGAACTTAATCTGGGTCCTCTGTAAGAGTAATAAGTATTTTTAATCACTGAGCTATCTCTCAAGTCCCAGTGTGTGCAAATTCTTTAAATTCCTTTAGTTTAACTTCTCCTATTTCTGAAATATATTTTATGGATAATACAAAAACTTCAAAAAGATATGGCTTCCATGGTGGCATATGAGGAACTTAGATTTCACTTCCACTATCTACCAATAAACACTCTAGGCAAGATGAAAATCAACACCTCTTCTCAGATCCAACAGGGAAATAACTACAGATGGCAAACTTTGTTCAACCAAGTAGAGAGATACATGGGGACTATTAGATCACCACTTACTGGAGTGAGCATCTATGAAATAAATTCAAGCTAGAACCAGAAATGGGTAAGAAACCCTGATCCACAATGTTTGACTTGCTGCAAACTCTGTCTGGACACATAGAAGAGACTGAATGTTCTGAAGAATCAGATTTCTGGAAACACCACACTCTTACGAGTTTTACGTCAGGTATTCTTGTAAGGTTTTCATCCTGAGGACCATAGGAAATCTACCCTGTACTGCTTTGGACACGAAGAGAGAAAGGCAGCCATATTGAAGTATGTCAGAGCATTTGGGTTTTGGTTTGTTTTTTTTTCCCCCCTTTGCTTCCCACAAGAGAAACTATTTTAGCTAAGCCTAACATGCATGTGTGATGGCATAGAGTAACTTACACAGAAGAGGGAAAGTCTCAACCCCAGCTCTGTAGGAGGAAGTGCAGCCTGAACCACCAGTGCATGCACGCTGCAAACACACCGAAATCATCTGGTTGAGTCGAACCTATATTCTGCCAAAGGACATAGAGATGGCTGACGCAAAATAGCTTGACATAGAGAGCCAATGAGGATCAGACACAACCCAAGAAGGTCTACTGGGGCCAATGGGACATTGGGAGAGGGGTATATAAGGCAGTCCCATATCAACAATAAATGAGTCTGCAGCACCTCGCCTAGAGCCTGCTTCCACCCGACTCCCAGTGTCTGTGTGTTGACTCCACGCCGCTCACTCCTGCCTGGCCAGGACCCTGAGTCTCCCATAGGCCAGACCTGCAGGGAGACTGCAACAGAGCTCCATCCAGATCTTCTGTCTACTGTATGGCTAGAGGGACTAGACGTATTTTTCAAGGCCATAGTCCAGGACAGAAACGTAAATACCAAGATCTGATCATAGGACATGTTACCTCCTTAGCATTACATACTTTAGCGTTACAGTAGTAGAGCTCCTGTATTCAACAGAAACTAAAAGAAACATAACAGTCTCAGAAATTATATAATGAGATTTCCTTAGTGAATGCCAAAGACAACAAGGAAAACAAGAATATCAGAGGGAATTTTAGTCTTTGAAATGACTACAGGAAAAATAAACATAACCTAAATCTTGTCGTATAAATATAAATCTTTACACTAAGTTCAATTTAAACTCCTCCACCCAGTACATCATGCCTAGTCTTCAATAAAAATTTGCAGAGTATAATCAAAGATTAAAATTCCTGCTTGGGCTGGGCTTGTGTCACACACCTTAAATCCCAGCACTCAGGAGGCAGGTGGATGAATCTCTGCAAGATCAAGGCCAGTCTGATCTACACAGTGAGTTCTGGGCTACCTGGGCTACAAGGAGACCCTGTCAAAAAGAAATTTCTGATTGGGTCGGGCATGGTGGTGCTTGCCTTTAATCCCAGCACTCCAAAGACAGAGGCAGGTGTATCTCTGGGAGATCAAGACCAGCCTGTTCTACATAGTAAGTTCCACACCAGCTGTGGCTACAGAAAGACCCTGTCTAACAAAAACAACAAAAATAACATTTGGAGGGGTAAAGCACACATCAGAACATGAATCACGTACATAGTCAATGCTGAAATTTTCAGATCTGAAATTTAATTACTATGATTAATAGGTTAAGTTATATAATAAAAGAGTGAACAAAGACAAACATATCCTATATAGACAGAGATGGACACCGCAATAACGTACATGAAATCATGCTTTTCATCCAAAATGGTGTAATAGAAATGAAGAATGCCACTGATGGACTTCTAGTAGGTTAGAAAGAGTCAAGAAAGTGCAAATGAACTTGAAGAAAAGTCCAAAATTAAAATGAAGAAGTAAGCAGTAGGAGAGATATTGTGGGACAGCCAAGAACTACATTACAATTATTAAAATGTAAAACATGGGAATTCTCAAAGTAAATAGAAGAATATTTTTTTTAAAGAGGGAATTTTTTAATGTTAAGAGATCTCTGAAAAGAATCAAAATAAAATCAAAGGAAACCTACTCTTAGATATATCCAGTTCAATGTGCAGAAAATCTACAGGGAAGCCAGAAACCTTGTTGATAACAAGTCAAAGATTTACATTGAATTTTGCTTCAGATTATGTAAAGAAGACATACAAATATATACTTAGTGAGGCAGTAGAAAAGAGGAAATTTATCACAGTAAGTTTTTTTTTAAGTATTTTAGGTTTTTTTTTTTTTTTTTTTTGTCTTTTTTGTGAGGCAGGGTCTCCCTGTAGCACCAGCTGTCCTGGAACTCACTATGTAGACCAGGCTGGCCTTGAACTCACAGGGCTCACAGAGCTCCACCTGCCTCTGCCTCCCAAGTGCTGGGATTATTTTTATTTCATGTGTATGTGTATGTTGCCTTCATGTGTGTAAACGCACCTGTGTCACGCAATGCCCGCAGAGGTCAGAAGAGGCTATCAGATCCCCTGGAACTGCAGTTATGGATAGTTATTAGCTGCTATGTGGGTGCTGGGATTCCAACCGGGTCTTCTACAAGAACATTCAGTGTTCTTAACCACTGAACCATCTCTCCAGCCCCCACAGTAAGTTTTTTAAAAAGCTATTGCCTTTAGTGTTTTTTTTTTTGTTTTTTTTTTTTTTTTTTTTTTTTTGGCCTTTTTTACCAGCTATCCTGGAACTCACTATGTAGACCAGGCTGGCCTTGAACTCACAGAGATCCACCTGCCTCTGCCTCCCAAGTCCTGGGATTAAA